CAACTCGAAAAAAAAAAAAAATCGGGTAGGAAGTATAAGGTAGGAGGATGATACCTAGATTTGAGTGAGGGGGTACGTTACATTTGAAGCTTCCCCAAATCGAAGAGAGCAATGTGGACAGGGTAAATCCTGGGCTTTTTCCTCAGAGCCCTCAGTGTTCTTAACCCCATCTCATTCCTTTTCCTATATCCTTCAGATTCGAGGGACTGGGCCTGGGGGACAGCTTCAGGATCTAGACTGCAGCAGCTCCGATGAAGAAGGCCCCGCTCAAAACTCCACCAAACCTAGGTAGGGAGATTTCAGGTGGGGGGTTGGTACATATGGCTGCAGAGTTGGTGAAATATAACTCCTGCATATTGCCTTTATGTGTATTTGTGATCTTTTGTGCCTACAGCGCTACCAAAGGGACACTGGGTGGCATGTTTGGGATGCTGAAGGGCCTCGTGGGTTCCAAGAGCTTGAGTCGTGAAGACATGGAATCTGTGCTGGACAAGATGCGCGATCATCTCATTGGTAAATTCGGTGGAGTGGGGCGACTCATGTTCACTGGGGTAGGGACAGTTGAGAGCAGAACCACCTAGAGTTTCTTAGCTGTACCATAAAGATTGGTCATAGGCGGGCTCGGTGGCTCAGCCTGTAATCCCGTGCCTTTGGGAAGCTGAGGTGAGTGGATTACCTGAGCCCGCGGGTTCGAGACCTGCCTGGGCATCGAGACCTCATCTCTACAATAAATAAAAAAATCAGCCGGGCGTGGTAGCGCATGCCTGTAATTCAGGCTACTGGGAAGGCTGAGGCGGAAGGATCACTGGAGCCCAGCAGGTCGAGGCTGCGGTGGCCGGGAGCAGCTACTGCACTCCAGTCTGGGCGGCAGAGTGAGACTCCAACTCAAAAAAAAAAAAAAAGATTGTTCATTGTTGACATGGAACTGACACCTGTCTTCCTCTCCAGCTAAGAATGTAGCTGCAGACATTGCTGTCCAGCTCTGTGAATCTGTTGCCAACAAATTAGAAGGGAAGGTGATGGGGACATTCAGCAGTAAGTATCTCCCTAAGCCAGAATGTGCTTATGCATGGCAAGAGGTTAAATGCATTGACTTCCATTCTTATGAGGTATGTGACTTTTGGCAAATTCCTTAACCTCTAAACCTCTATTATATAACCTAGACTTTATTAAGAGGATTAAAAGAGTTATTACTTATAAAGTACTTATGTTCTGGATTCTTGGAACAAGATCCTAGTATTGTCCTAGTCCCCTTAGCTCAGAAAGGTGTGGGGCATTTTTGAGTGCATTCCTTGGGTTTCATGGCTGCAGCCTCTCCCACCTCCCCTTTCAGCGGTGACTTCCACAGTAAAGCAAGCTCTACAGGAGTCCCTAGTGCAGATTCTGCAGCCACAGCGTCGTGTAGACATGCTCCGGGATATCATGGATGCCCAGCGTCGTCAACGTCCTTATGTCGTCACCTTCTGTGGTGTTAATGGAGTAGGGAAATCTACTAATCTTGCTAAGGTCAGTGCAGTTCCCCAGCCTGTTACAGATTTCTTTACTCTCCATGTCTTAGAACTCTGGTTCTAGATGAGTTTTCTTACCTCTTTTGCACAGATTTCCTTCTGGCTGTTAGAGAACGGCTTCAGTGTCCTCATTGCTGCCTGTGATACATTTCGTGCCGGGGCTGTGGAGCAGCTGCGCACACACACCCGGCGTTTGAGTGCCCTACACCCCCCAGAGAAGCATGGTGGCCGCACTATGGTGCAGCTGTTTGAAAAGGGCTATGGCAAGGATGCTGCTGGCATTGCCATGGAAGCCATTGCCTTTGGTACAGTGCATGGGAAGCATGAGGGCTGGTGGGGCCCCTTTTCTTCCTTGGGTTCCCTTGGAATTTGCAGTGAATCAGGCTTTTCCTACTAGTCTTGTTGCTTGATAGCAGAGAAAAGTCAGGATTAGTTACTTGCCGTCCTCTGCTTTTGAATAATATATATAGTTGGAGGCACAGGTAATATATCCTAACCAAAGAAACCTGAATTTGGTCACCTTTCTCCTACTTAGTCTCCCCTTTTCTGAATGTATAGTGATGGCCAAGCATACAATAAACTTTTTCTCACAGTACTTAACCAAATTGAGAGCCCCAAAAAAGTGATCAGATATGCTTTTAACATAGCCAGACTAGGACTTTTTGAGAGGAAGCTGGGGTTTGAGTTGACCACTTTTTCTCTCTCTAGCACGTAACCAAGGCTTCGATGTGGTGCTGGTGGATACAGCAGGCCGCATGCAAGACAATGCCCCCCTGATGACTGCCCTGGCCAAACTAATTACTGTCAATACACCTGACTTGGTGCTGTTTGTGGGAGAGGCCTTAGTAGGCAATGAAGCCGTGGACCAGCTGGTGAGGGCTTGGGCCCAGTTCACTTTACAGCTTAAACTTTAGCCAATTAGATGGTTCTTATATTTGTATCACCTTCTCCCTTTCCAGGTCAAGTTCAACAGAGCCTTGGCTGACCATTCTCTGGCTCAAACACCTCGGCTCATTGATGGCATTGTTCTTACCAAATTTGATACCATTGATGACAAGGTAAATGTGGATGACCCCAGTGAGACTGGAGGGTGGAATCAGCATCTTTCACATGGGAGCTGAGGCTCTAAGGAAACTTGGCTCCAAAGCTTCCTGTTCCTGAGGAAGTGAGAAAAGTAGTGGGCTTGAGCTGATTAGGTATCCCCTTTCTCCACTTCAGGTGGGAGCTGCTATTTCTATGACATACATCACAAGCAAACCCATCGTCTTTGTGGGCACTGGCCAGACCTACTGTGACCTACGCAGTCTCAATGCCAAGGCTGTGGTGGCTGCCCTCATGAAGGCTTAATGTGGCTCTTGCCTAATACCAAATCGCCGCTTTCTCCACACGCCCCATTCCTGTATCAAGAATGTGCTTTAAGAGTATGTGAGCAACTTGTCTTCAGTGTAGTACAAAGGCAGTGAGGGGAAACTCCAGGGGCTTGCAGCTCCTAACTTCACTCCCTGCTCAGCCCAGCCTCCATCTGTACGGAAGGCCTAATCATGTTACAATCACTGCCCATTGACACTCTCCCCCCACGGGCCTCCCTGTTCCTACTCAGGCATCTCCTTCACTCTGCCTACAGACTCAGTCTCTTCACAGCTTTGACCAATGGTTGGAAGATCCAGCACTAGAGCCTGGCTAATTAGTGTGGCCATAGGGCCATCTGAACCTAATGAGCAGTTTGAAGTTCCAGCTCTGTTAGGTTGAGAGACTCTTCCAGAGCCAGATATGGATCTTGAATGGCACCTCTCCCTAGGATACACAGCCAGCAGGTCCCTGGGGCCAGGATGACACCCACCTCACTGTGGCAGTATATGGCCGTTAATTGCTGCTAATTCTAATTCTGATGATGACCCCTTCCCATTGCTTCCCCCAAGCATCAACTAGGCCAGAGTGATTTGTTACAAGAGAGCAAAAGATGAGTCCCTGCTTCCCTCAGAAATTAAGGGGGCTGAGCTGCAGTGTTGTATCAGGCTTCTCAGCCTTCCAACTCTTGCCACTCCCAGAATCCAGATGTAAGCTTTGCATGTTCCCCTTCCTGGGAGGAAACTGATTGTCAGAAGGGTATATGTTGCCCCTCTCCCCCACCTCATCCTTCACTTATTGAGCGGTCCTGGCCTTTCCTCATCCCTCTCCTCTACAGTGCCTGGCAGACAAGTGCTACGTTGAATACAAACCTCTTGTTAAGACTTGTCCTGTAGCTTGGTAATAAGATGTGCTATTAGTGCAATAAGGTGAAGGCTGTCTGCCCAGAGAAATACATAATTTATATAAGAAAATAAATTTCATAAATAAATTGCCTTTTAGGTCTTGGAGTTCTTTTATATGGGATTCAAAACTAAAATCCTGCATCACACTAACTATAGTTCTAGGCTTATGATAAGAAGGGCAGCAAAGCAAGGACTGACAGTACTCTGAGGAACTGGGTAAGTAAACGATTGTCCTGAGTGAGATCACCTCACCCCAAGGTGGAAGAACAGAACCTTTAGAATTTAAGTTGAGCTATAAAAACTAGGTTTGTTAGTACCTTGATGCAAGTTAAGAGTTTTCTACAGTGACTCTAAAAGTAGAGCCAGGGTCCTGGCAAGTAAACGAACAAGCTTTTAATACAGCTCAGTTATGTAAAATACTGTACACTGTAAAAGAGCTAGAAAACTAGAGCTTCAAGTCATGTTTTAAAAAAGCTATTAAGCTTAATTGAAAAACCAAGTATAGAGTACAAAACTGCAACAAGAGCCATGGTGATTCCGTGGCATCTAGATCCCCAAGTCCTTCATGCAGAGCTGCAGCCACAGTCAGCGGAGGTATCACATAGATCTGCTGTGTAGACACAAGCATGTCCAGCCTGGGGAATGGGGTGGGGGGGCTGCACTGGGTCCTGCTGTCACTTGTACTCTTGAACTGGAACAGGCAGCAGAATACCAAGAGCCAGTTGGCATGAAGGATTCAGTTGAAACATTCCCCTCTATCCCCACCCTTCAACTTCTGGATATTGGTGCTTCCTGGGAAGCTGTGGTGGGTTCTTGTAAGGTTACTTGTTAAACACTGTCCATGGTAGGGCCTTACAGCTTGGTCTAATGGTGATTTCTCTAGCTCACTCATGTACTGCAGCCTGTGGAGAGAAAGAAAAGGAGGAAAGTAAAATGAAGTTTCACAAAACAAGCTTATGCATCTAAAGCTGCAGATAATTTAATTGTGAAGCCTAACCCTTAGAGCCAAGACATAGGAGATTTTAGGAATCTTAATAGACTTGACAGGAAGGACAGAATCCTTAACAGGCGGGGGAGCAAATCATTCTCCATAGGAAAACTTTCTGATGGCAGATTGAGAAATAGAATAGTAAATGGCTTACCTCTTATTTCACTGTGTGCTGCAGATGAGCCATTTAGCTGACCTTCTCTCACCATCCCTGCTAAACACAGAGTACATCAGCATCAGACATTAGCCTGAAAAGTAAACTGTTGGTTGGGTGTGGTGGCTCACGCCTATAATCCCAGGACTTTGGGAGGCCGAGGCGAGAGGAATGCCTGAGCCCATGGGTTTGAGACCAGCCTGGGTAACTTGGTGAGACCTCATCTCTACAATAAATCAAAAAAGTAGCTGGGCATGGTGGTGCATACCTGTAGTTCCATCTACTTGGAAGGCTGAGGTGGAAGGATCACCTGAGCCCAGTAGGTCAAGGCTGCGGAGGCTGTGAGCGTGCCACTGCATTCCAGTCTGGGTGACAGAATAAGACTCAGACTCAAAAAAAAAAAAAAGTAAGACTTAATAGCAAAAAGAAAAAAACGACCGACTAGAGGGAGATGAGAGCACAGGGTATGATTACAAAGGATGGCATTTAAAAATGAAACCATTTCTGAGGAGATGAGGAAGGCAAGCAAACCACAGTAGTATTCAGTTACATCAAATAACTGGGAAACAGCAAGATTTCCTTAGGCACTCAGACTGCTTATAAACAAAATAGTTCTAGGAACAGTGGCTGCTAGAAGGCCAAGTTTAGGTAAAAATTCAGTCTGACCAGGGATGGGGAACAGCACATGAAAATAAAAAGTGGCAGACACTCCCATTATAAAGTGGCTAAATCTGTGCTCTCCAGTATGGTACCACAAGCCTTACATGGCTACATAGTTTCTTTTTCTTTTTTTTTGAGTTGGAGTCTCACTCTGTCGCCCAGACTGGAGTGCAGCGGCCACTCCCGGCCACCGCAGCC